TGAATTCATATTCAAAGTGTCTAGTTGTATTCCAAATATCAAGGTTCTACATAAAATAGGTCATAAGATATACATACACCAAGATCAAAAAGACACAAATATGGTAAAACAAAACTCAAATTTGTAAAAATCACCAATTTCAATTTTGCTTTAAAAAAGCAATTGTTCTATATCTATGTAAAGTGCATGAAAAGCACATTAGGAAACCAAAAAAATTAACCCTCTAAGTTAATTAGGTCACGTGCTAGAGCAGTCCAAAGTTGCGAATTTGGCTTTTTACGGATAGCTATAAAACCGGAAGTACATGTCGGAGGTCAAAGGTCAAAGTATCAAATGATAGCCAAGGTCAATGACCTTTGACCCTATGAAGGTCAAGGTCATCAAAGGTCAAGGTCGCATGGTGTGATCGTTTAAAGCTTTAAAAAATTTCAACCGGAAGTTGAAAAAAAGCAAAAGCGAAATTCAAAATTCGGCTCCCAATGTTTTTTGCGCAATCGATTGCGGAATACATTCACATCAAATTTGAGCATATCAACATTTACCCTGAGGCCCCATTTTGAGTTTTACAAAAGTGTGTTTTTTCAATATGGCGGCCAAAGTATCACTTCCGATCTGGATTTTTTTTTCTTCGTTTTTTTGTAATAGCATTTACTTACGATCAGCATAAATTTCGTTGACCTATTTCAATTACACCGGAAGTTATTCGACCGGAAGTGTATTGTACTTTCAATAGATTCCCCGTTTAAAACCGGAAGTAAAATTAAATATTTGACAACTACATATTATTTGCTTTAGTGATGCCCCTTTGCATATTAAATTTCAGATCAATCGATGCAAAAGCAAAAAAGTTGCAAAAAAATTGAAAAATTTGATCGAAAAAAGTGAGCGACGAATTTTCAAATTTCGTAATTTTTTAAGTGCTATCAGGTCAGAAATTACAGGTAGATTGTAAAAATGAAAACCCGAAGAAAATCGATGCAAAAATACGCCTTCTAGAGCCGATTTTCGACTTTTTGCACATGTGGAACTGTGGCACTTCCGGTTTTGCAAAAATGTTCCAATTTATATTTATGCACATCGTCACCTATATAGAAGGTCTATGAAATTTGAAACGTTGCTGCAACTACTGCAGTCTAAGCACAGGAAGGTGTGGACGAAACGAAAAAAAAAAAAAAAAAAAAAAGAAGGGACATTTCAGTAACAAACTGGCAAAATTTAATCAACGAAGTGGCTTAAGTTCAAAATCATTTAAATCAAAAATTAGTGTGTCTAGAATTAGCGAGCCGTCATTTCTTGAGATTATGCCATATATAGAAAAGACATCTATAGATATACGAAAAGAAATTCCTAGTTTGAGATATTTTTGAAGGAATTATGCAATTTTTATACATTTCTAGTATTTCTAAAGACTATTAATGTGTATTCAAGAATCAATTCAACGCCCCAAATGGCGCACCTGTCCCTTTAAAAGAGTATTTGATGGTATTGTGACCAGTGAAATACTGAATCCATACTGATATAAATGCAATAAATCTTTCTTTAAAATCTTTCATGATTCATAACATTTGTTGTATAATAGTCAAAATTTTCTTTTACATGATACGTGTAATCTAACATGTTCAATTTCAATTCAATAGAATAATAAAAAATCGAGTGTAAAAAAATTACCAAGAAATTATGAGTTTTCAGCAAGATATGAATAGCCATTATAGCTATTCAACGCTGATCTGGTCAAATAACATTCACCACAAATAATATGGATTGAATATGAAAAATAATAAAAATCAGGTTATCAAGTTTTTGGAGAATTCTCAAGTTTTGTTTGTTTATGAGTCAGATGGGTATTGTATATGTTAATAAAAGGTTATGAAATGCACAACATGGTTAATACTTTATAACAAATCAAGGGCTTACAAACCAATAAAGAATTGACATTTGACATTTGTTTTCAAAGAGAATAAGGATATTTTAACCTGCTTTAAACTTTTCATTATAAAAATGAGATGATACAGTTTGTGTGCTAAAAAAATATTGTAATCACAAAAGCATAATTTTAATGATTTTAAATGGTATAGGAATAAATATGAAATACAGATATGTTAATCATCATATTTACCATTTTTATTCGCCCACATCTCTCTATTTGGACGTATATTGTCCGCACCCCTGTCCGTCCGTCGTTCCGTCAACATTTGATTTTTTGATGGAATCAATTGAAATTCGGTATGGGTATACATATTCATAAAATGAAGATCAAGTTTGAATATGGGCTATTTTCGACCGTTAGAAGCAGAGTTATTGCCCTTGCCCCAAAATCTTGAATATGCTATTACTCTCAACCGATTTTCATCAAACTTAAAATGGATGTTATTGGACCTAAATTGAAAGGTTTGAGAAAGATTAGTTTACTTCTGATTAAATTTAAGGCTTTTTCAAGATTTAGGCCTCTTAGGTCAGTTTTGAGGAGTTATCGCCCTTTAACCTCTATACAGTAAGTGCTTCTATCAACATCAATTGCTCGTAAACACTCTAAAAACTAGAGTGTTTGAAGGAATCAAATGAAATTCGGTATGTGCATACATATTCATGAAAAGAAGGTCCGTCGGTCCGTCTGTCAACATTTGCTTGTAAACGCTCAAAAAACTAGATTTTTTAATGAAATCAAATGAAATTCGGTATGTGTATACATATTCATAAAACGGAGATCAAGTTCGAATTTGAGCTATTTTTGACTGTTAGAAGCCGAGTTATTGCCTTTGCCTCAAAAACTTGAATATTTACCATCCGCATGCCGTGGTGGGCGAATATGGCTGTGGTCCACTATGGCTGTGGTCCACTATCTTCCAGTACTTTATGATAAATTATCTAATTGATATATCACACAGGACTTTGGAGTAGATTTCCACTTTACATTGAATATTCTATAGAATATTGAAAAAAAAATAAAGACTAATAATCTAAATTTGCACAGCTGCTCACAAATACATTTTCAAACAGACAGCATGTCAAAAGCAGTAGGGTAAACACTTAATATTTTGGTAATTTTTAATCCCATATGGAACTTACTTTAGAGTACATGGCATAATATTTGGTAGTATTTGACCATGAATAGATAAAGCTGTTCCACCTTGATAAACAGTATCTGTACTAATTTCTACTAATACACTATCATTAATTACTGTACCATTTAATATCTGTAATGGCATGTAGGGCTGGAACTGTTGTAGACTTAAATTATTCCATGGTCTATTTGAAAGTTCCTGTAAGATGAGAAATCTTAAAAGCCTTTTTTATTAATAAAATATATAGATCTTGTTATCAATGACCTTCAAATACAATCTGACTGTTATCTTATGAACTCTCTAAATGTACGTAGTCCCACCAGATAGCAGTATTTAACATTTAAACTAGATTGGTATTTACAAAATTTAATTATTAAATACTAACAAATATAACATACCAAACCATTCAAGTAAAACTTTTCACCAAATCCTTGACAAAATGATGTGGCAAGTGGCAAAGTATTCTTTTTATTTCTTGGACATAAATCACATATTTCTCTCCAAAACCTGCAAAAATTCAGAATAGTTCTAAAACTTATTTTAGTTAGAGATTAGTGCTTTGACTTCTAGTGTACAGAATGACATTTTTATCATTCATTGAGTGTATTGAGCTCAATCTAAATTTCTTGCAAAAAAAAAAATAGAATCATATAATAGAAGACAATTACATTCCATTCAATGCATGTATATAGAATATTTATACAATAACATTACCTAACCTATTTTCATTCTGAGTAAAATTATCTTTGCCTTGTGTTTCATAAACCCAACCATTAGCAAAAAGGGCAGATGATAAATTGTGTTGTCTTACCATAGTTAAGGCCTGCAAATATAAAAGCAGATCATGATTGTGCTGTAATCAAATCAACAACAGTTTATATATACATATCAGGACTGTGGCACTAGTTAACATATCTATATCATTTCCAAAATATCTAGTTACAATATTGTCCTGTAAGTTGTACTGTCTACTTTCTATATGGTACCTGACTCCAGCCCTAGTCTCTTTACACGGAGATATAAATTGCGAACAGGAAAGTTTTAGGTAGTAGCACACATCAATATTGTTTATGTATCTTAAAAAATATTCTGCATACATTTTTCACATACATTTGTTATGAGGATGGATTCTATACAGAGCAAAATAAAATACCTCTCTAGTATTATAACCGCCATCACCTGGTGTACCTCTACCAAATATATCAATACCAACGTATACATCAAATGGTCTGTCATACTCTACTGCTATAGTTTTACTGTTCTCTAACTTTTCATGAGTCCAATTATAGTTTAAATATATACCATCACACACTTCAAAATACATCCTGTAAACAAAAACTACAACATACAGTCCTTAAACACAAAATACAGACTGTAAACACAACATACAGACTGTAAACACAAAATACAGACTGTAAACACAACATAAAAAAACACAACTGAAAAATTGACAAACCTATTCCTATCATTTAATTCATTCTGCCAATCCAACTTTCCAGTATCAGTAACACTATCATACCAAATAACAACTGATCCTGGGATAGCCTCGTGCATCTTTCTTGTTAAATCTTCTACAAAATCTTTTAAATCATTGACTTTTCTGGACTGAAAACAGATTTGAAGGTAATTTAGTGAAGAGTAGTATTAGTATTAGTAAATATCAGTATATATTGTATATGTTATCTTTTGTTAGACATCAATAATTATTGACTAGAATCTTTTGTGGCTTCATATGGAGATTCAAAGGTATTCTATTCATTAGTTTAAGACTTCAATTTTGATAAATCCTTGGAGAAATTGAATGGTTATAAATATATTATATTCTATGAGGTATTATATTGTATATATTTTTGAGATAACAAAATCAGTACATTAATGGGATCCTACTTTTCATAGTTTTTTTTACCTGAACTTCATTTTCTATATTGATAAGCCAGCCGTCAAATCTATAATATTCAGCCATATTTACTAATTTAGTTGCAAAATTTTTATAAACATCAACATTTTCTAGAAATAAATTACAACATTCAAATCCATACTTCCATTCTGTAATCAAGGTACCTAAAAATAAATGAATTAAAGTTGAAAATAAACACCTGATTTAAAAAAAAAACTTATACCAGGCTAGTTAACAATTATCTTCAGCATGTTAACAGCTGAGTTGTCATACACATACATCTGTCAAGTCATGAAGTCATGAACAGACATTTAACTGATCCTTACACCTCATATTCCCAGAATGTAAAAACACATAGTAATCTTTATAATGAAAAAAATTAAATTTTACCTAATACTTTGACACCATGTCTATGTCCAGCATTAGTCCAACATGGTGGAGGAATAGTCACTAAATTATGACTAAAATATATAAATATATCTATATACTGCCAATGATAGAATCTATAAGCATCAGATGAACTGCTTCCTTGAACAAATCTGAAATAATATGAATTTATTCTGAGCATTGGTTTCTGTACAATATTTTAATGTTTATGTCTATTTATTCATTTGTCATTATTTGGTATTTGATACATAAGTTGAGATTTTTCATTGACCTGATGTTTGTAATTTTGACTTTGTTTATCATTCATATTCTTAGTATGTAATTATTACACTATTTTTTATTCTAATACAGGATTGATTATGTCTTGAAACATTTATAGCCAACAACAATTCTAAAATACAAAAAGATACATGGCATTAACATAAAGGTCACTTACCTGTCATCTAAATAGCCTCCTTTCATATCATGACAAATCAAGGTTTTAGGCACCCCTGATTTCAGTTGGTTTGATGCTAGAGGTATTTTAGAAACTGAGAACTGATCAGCCCCACCTTCCCATGATAAAACATCTCTATATTTTTCAATTGGTTTGCAAACTGGTCTATCATCTTCCATGATCTACAATTTACAAATCAAAAATTAAATTGGACCAATTAAAAGAATATTCAGTCAATTATGAAGAAAAAGAGGTTCATAGACTCCACATATAAACTTGTCTGCCATTCCATAGAAAGCTTTACAACAAAAGAACTTGTTGAAACTATTGTCATCTTGGCATTGATTGGATGAAATTCACTTCAGTAATGTCATTGGGGTTCCTCTAGTTGTAAATGCTAATAAGACCAACTTTGGCAAAATTCTGCAGTCAAAATCTGAACCTGATATGTACTTGTAACCTGATGACGTTAGTGTATCATAAAAACTAAAACTGGGGTCCAGTTAATTTTTTATCCAGCTTATAGAAATAGTTCTTTTAAACAACAATGTGCTTAATTAGATCTCATTATTGTATAAACAAAGTAGATCTATTGATTTTTCTTCTGTTGAGCGTTTAATTGAAAAAGTAATGCAATAGATTGGTTGGTCCAGGCCCTTGAAGTTCTGTCAATAATAATAAAGAACTGAACTTCAAGGGCCTGTGGTCCAATTTGGCTTTTTTTTTTTTTATCTGAACTGCTTCCTGCTCTCTTAGTAGCATTGCCTCTGTCAGTGACAACTTGTAACCGAAAGCAAAACTGTAGAAATCATGACAGGTTTCGATGTTTACCAAACACAAATCTTATTTACCTCTACCTTGAATAGCTGATAAAAATAATAATCGTGTTATCTCCCTTTGTATAGAGAAATAATCCGAAAATGTCAGCAGTAGGCCTGTGTTTTAATTTACTGGTCATAAAGATATCTGATTACCGTTGGCGCATTAATACCGATGTGATATTTGTGCAAGATTTGTCTTTATAATGTAGAGTACCGGTATTGATAATAAAGGAATGGTGACTCTGTACTGTAGCTGGATCCTTTGATCCATACTATGCTTTTTGATGCCTTTTGATCCTCTTTTGTAAACGGTTGTCCCGCTAAAAGTGCCATTAACAGGAAATAATGTTTTGTTTTAGAGCTAGACGAAATTTGTTGCTCAAATAAATGAATACTTCAAAAATCTAGAGAAACATTTTCTTTAACATAATTATCTGGAAATTAAACAGAAAAAATCCAGCCGTTATTTTTTTAATGCCAAATCCTTTTAAAAGGTCAACGTAAATTGTTTTCATAGTGGCCTATATCCTATGCTTTTTGGGCGGTCTTGAAAAAGTTCGGATTTAAGCAAAATAAAAGCTTTATTATAGAGAATTAATGTCTCCTTCTTATTCTACAGGTTTCAAATAATATAATTTCTTATAAGATAGCCTACCAAGTACTAACGATCGTTCAGATCACCGCATCACCGCACAGATCACCGTTATCACCGCAAAACAAAACCCGAAATATCAACATATTGACGAAACATTGGTAGCAGCTAGGCCTAATGAACTTTAATTTCCACTTAATTTGATTTCTTAGCTGAAGAGTAATATTAGTTAGGTCATTTCTTCTGAGAAATTGTTGACATACAATTCTTATATCGATCGACTATTATTTCAATAACAAATGTATTCATATCTATCGATTCGTGTTGTTCTTTAAATCGTAGAATGAGCGTGAATTGACATAACATAGTATTCGTTTGTGAATGAAAAGTTTACAATTATCTCAATTAACCAGTTATGCACGACAATCTACATTCAATTAAAGTCTGGATATCAAGGTGTAATGTTACCGCGAACAATATGCTATCCTGATTGGATAGTATGTAATCTGCGTCATGAGGGACTTTCCCTAAATTTTCCCGTCAGTATTTTTGGGAAAATATTATCAATGGAATTATTCAACCGATTTACCTATATATTTGTTTACGTAATAAAAAGAACAAGGCAATCCAAGGCGTTAATGTAATTTACGACATATTTCATTCTTACCAGGTCAAATGATATTTCATTTTTTTTCTTTTTTGAACAACTTTAGTATTATGACTATAACTATAAGAGACAATTTAGAAGGTAAGAAAAAGGAAAAGGCCTATCTTTTGGGGGGAATAGTAAGAGTTGAGTGAGAGCAAAATACGGGTTGATACTATTTACAACTTCCTCATTGAGTGCGGTTAAAGCTACTATTTCAACATTTCTAAGAATTCTCAACATTTGTCACGTGGATAAAATAAGGTGATAAGAGAGGCAATTCGATGGATAGTTTTGTTGGCCTATCAATTAACGAATATTTGGATATATCGGGGTGATGTAGGCCTATACAAGTTTTACAGGGTAAATAGTATTTTCTGATTTCATTATTTGTCCACATAGTTTAGACTCTAAGAGTAAGTGCTACAACAATTAAGTCATTGTGGTTTTTTTTATAATAGGCAAAATCTATCAATATTTTCTTGAAACACGAAACACGTATATAAGTAGTCCCATCATCCGTTGGTCAGAACATAGCCTAATTAGGCCTGTTTATTGTATTAAATAGCCTTCGCTTAGTTTATTTTCGCCTCAACAAAATAACAGTCATGTATTTAATCCATATGTTTACATCATTTGCTTCGACTTTGGAGTACAACTATACCTAACTAATAATTTATGATATCCGATGATATAGCCCGCACTCATTTTAAGTGCAGGTCGTCGGTTAGCTTTTAAAAGGTTAGGGTCTGATCCGAGCCAAACATCATTTGACTTTGTAGATTGGTCAACCAAAGGCCTGCAAGAGCACGGCGGAAATGAAGAAAGAACATACAGTGTAGATTTTATAAAGGTAGGTAGACTAAAGAGAGAAATTCATATTGATTTAATTTTTAAAACTAACACTCTGTAATCTGGCTGGCAGTATTTTTTAATGATGGTTCTCAAAAATCACACGAGCCAAGGTCAGAAGCAATAATTCTACATTTCAAAGTGCCATTTAGTTTTTTTTTATTGTTTACTTATTTATTTAAAGCCTTTTAAAATATATTCCAGCACAAATGCAACAAGATTATGTAAATAGAAATATTTGAAAAGTTGTATATGATGGTGTGAAGTTCTTTTTTACAACTGTTAGAAGTGATATCAAACAGTTTTACAGTGAAATGTAAACTATTTTTGGTGGCATTAGGCCTAAGCTATCTTTACAGTTATCACATTTTCCTTTCGAATCACTGACTATATATTGGTAGACTTTACTTGACTAATTGAAAAACGACCTACCTGTACTCCTTGATAACTTTCTCACGGAAATATCTTGACTTTGAATAATAATAACTATATTTTGGCATCCCGTTTAGACCGATTACATATAGAATAAATATAGGGCCTACAGAAAATAACATAAAACATATGTACATTTACAATGCAACTTGGATGAGGAAAAAAATGTAAACACTTTGTTTTATAAGATTATCAAATGGTACAATTAATTATTTGAAGTAAAATGAAATGGTGACAAAAACAAAAGCAAGAATGGTTATAAATGCTATGGAATTATTTAATCATTATTGCCAAGAAGAACAAACTTCATCATTTCTTGTTTAAATGTATATAAAGAAGGATTATGTTTTACAGTTTGTGGTAAAGAATTCCAAAGTAAAGAAGCAGATATATATTGAAATGTTCTCATCATAGCATTTGGGTATGTCTAAAGTGCGGAGTGTTTCTGAGATCAATGTCATGCCGTTAATTTTGATCTCTCCGTATATAATTGTTCAGGGTTTCCAGTTTGAAATATTTTGAATGTCATTATGCCACGATTATATCTAATACGTTGATACAGAGTCAACCAATATAAAATTTTGGTAAAGGATGTCGAAGGTGAATCATGTTTTTCATCTAATATACTTGTATAGAACCTTTTAATTCACTAATATATTGGAATTACCCCAAACAGCAGAACAATAATCAAAAAATGGTAAAATATAACTAAAACAATTTACGTAAGCTTAAAGATGGGTTTCCCTATTTTTTAACGGCAAAATTAAGCAAACTATTTGATTAATTGTTTCTGATGAATTATCATGTTTTCATAATCATATCATTATGTCGTTGTTGCATATAATTAAAGAGTTTTAACCATTTAAACATAAATGACTATGTATGTACAGCCTGGATAAACAAAAAAAGACTCTTTGACCTTTCATGATCGGTCACTCATTGGAATTCTGCTGGTAATTCTCTTCTAAATTAGCTAATTATGAATTAATAATGTGACATGTGATACCAACTGGTATTTTTCCAAGTCATTAGAACACCTCTACTTTCTATTCATATAAGTAATAGCAATTTCATTTTCATAAATAAAAATAAGGAAGCCCATCTTTAAAGGAATGCATTTTTTAATTTGACTAAGAAGGAAAATTTTTGGAGCTTATATTTTTTGACAATTTTTTAATTTTCAAATATTTTGTAATATAATACCGGGTGTATGGAAATTAGAACCCCCTCCCCACTTCCACAGGGAAATAAAGTTGATTCTCAGCTGTTTTTTTTTCGATTTTCTGAAATCAAACCCCATATCACATTACTATTTACATACGTATCTCAATGAAAATTAGGAAGTTCAAGGGAATAATATGATTAATATTTTTCTATCTATAGTAATCAAATACAACGAATTGGTGTTTTGATTTTAAAGGGACAATCCGCTTTTTTTGTAGGTTGAAAATTTTTTTGCTCAAATTTGTAAAAACTATATAACAAAAGATATAGAAATGTATCCTTAATGTATCTGAAAATTTTAACTTTACGTAACCTTTTAAGTTCGTTATGCTATTTGGAAGCTGAAATACTGTACGATTTTGAGTAAAATAAACGCCTAATTTTTTGTAGAGAAATACATCTCCTACATTTCAAACATCACCTACCGAATCAATCATCACTAGGTCAATCTGTTTAATTAACAATTAGTACCGGTACTCACGGTTTTTTAAAACAAATACAGTTTGATAAAGTAGGTACATTAAAAGCATAGGTCTACTATAGAAATATTTTCAGGTACCGGTATGATTTACAAAGTTTTTGATAATGAAAATGTTTTACAAAAAAAGCTGAATGCCCCTTTAAAGGCTAAATAACCATCACGATATTTGATTTTTTATTACAGCTTGGTAAGTTTTTTCAGGCGAATATCGATAGCTCGCTTGGTTAAGCGCTTCATCGATAAGCAATGAGGTCTGAGATTTGTTGCGACACAAATTTCGTTGGCAGTGAACAAAATCTCAATTAAAAAAAGACGTAGCCTACATTATTACTTAAAAATATAAATATTATAAAATTGTACAATTAATAAATTGCCAATAAATACACCAAGTACCAACGATTAAACAGGTTGACCTTACTGGCATCTTGGCCTACGAGAATCTAAACGTTTTCGTCTGAAAAATTACAGTTGCATGTAAATGCTCATGTTCTACTAAAAAAAAAAATGTTATATGGTCGTAGATTCTGACGGTTCAAGTCGAAAGCCGAGCACTAGAAATAGAACACGAGCACTTGAGACACTATTCACCACAAAGTCAGCCCTAATTTAGCTTTAATTTTGAGATATGTTCTGTTCCCAAACAAATTTAGTTCGATAATTGAAAGCAAAACTATCTTTGAAAGTAATTCGGTTAATGGTCCCTTACTTCACCACATTTTCAATTTCCAAAAAACTCCCATTCCGTTTTCTTTTTCTTGAGTAAAATATACGACTATTTTCTTATGTAAGTTTATGATTTGTTGAAATAAACATGACACATGTTTCATTAAATCATAAAAAAATTAAAGGTTGTAAAAAAAATCACCATTCTTGTCACTTTCATTGGCGAATGGTTATATCTTTTATATATAAATATTATATACAAATGAACCAAAATAAAATCTATGTTAACATTCTTAAAATAGTGAGCGTCATTCAAGCATTTGTTCATTCGTGGAAAAAATTATCAAACACGTTTGATTTTCAACTTTTCGACACGAATGACCAAAATCTTACGGAAGCTATCGCCTTAAGGAGAAGTGCACGAATTAATTCTGCCTGAGCTGATGGCTCGTGTGTGCGCCGGACTTTACCAACACAGTAAGCCCACAGTAGTCAAATATTAATCATGTATTGTATGTAATTGCTCAGATTTATTTTAATAGCCAATTGTAACAATTTATGCCAAAAAATGGGTCATCTTGATCTGTCACTGTTACATTTGAATAATTCATAAGGTATAGATCAAAATGAAAGCTACTGTAACCCTATCTGATTATCTAGATGATTTCGTTCCAAGAGAATTAGCCACTCTAATATATTTAAATATAGCCCTTAAAAGCCACGCCTTCACATTTGATATTTAACGGATACGACATTCAAAAAGGTTTTAATTCACTCACATGTTTTAATAACGGTTTGCATGTACATATTTTAAATAACCATTTTTATCACTTTATATAGTTTTACATTAAGGATGATATTTTGGTTTGTATAGGCCTGTATTTGGATATTTTTTACATAATCAAAGAAAAATGATGAAAGATATTTGAATAGGATATAAGTGATACCATTGCACAATACCTTGTTGTATGTTTACCTTTTCATTTAAAAGCATTTGGCCATGTATGTGTCTTGGCGTAAATTTTACTACCTTCGTTAAAGTCTGAGTTCCAAAATATTTTATCGCACCATTTTTATCATTTTCAACATGTACTTGCAGAAATTTTTTTTTAAATTCCCGCTTTTTTCAGTAATACAACCGCTTCAGAGTGTGCAATTTCTCAGGACGTAAGAGGCTTCATTTATTATTGCAATTTGAAACTTATCCATTATGAAGAACAATCTATTTAATTTGTTTACTTGTCGATGAGCATTCTTGTAAATCAGAGTTCCATTATTTTATGCACATGAGTTTCTGGTAGCGCGATTCTAGTCTATTACCTTAAATGGTAAAATTGATGGTAGGGTAATGAAAAAGTTCATCTAGTACATGTATTGAGCAGTATTCAAATTACAGTAACTATATCTTTGGACAAACACTAAAAAGAAAAATTTCATGATAAAAAAAGATTTTTTTTTAGATTTTCATCTGAGGTACATTGGAATCTTATGGTAATTAAACCCTGTCTGCCAGACATAACGAAAATAAGACAGTTGGACCCTTAATTCTAGACATAACCACAGGAAATAGTTGGACCATTTCTCCGAAACATAACAAAAATATGGTTGAAGGACATTTCCTTGTAGACATAACGAAGAGAAAGTAGTTGGAGCCTTCCTTGCAGACATAACGAAAAGAAGGTAGACTAGTTTTACTCTTCCTTGTAGATAACAAATAATAAGGTAGGCTAGTTGGACCCCTCCTTGCGGACATAACGAAAAGAAGGTAGCAGGACCCTTCCTTCCAGACATAACGAAAAGGAAGTAGTTAAGCCCTTTTCATACAAACATAACGCAAAGAAAATATTTGGACCCTTACTTTCAGTAATAAGGGAAAAAGGTAGCCCAGTGGGACCCTTCTTCCCAGAAATAACAAAAAGGGGGTTAGTTGAACCCTTACTTTCAGACATAACAAAAAGAAGGTAGGTGTACCCTTTCTTCCAGACATCACGAACGGATGGTAGTCAGACCCTTTCTGCGAGACATAACTAAAAGAAGTAATTGAACTTTTTTCCATACATGGCGACAAGAAGGTGGTTGGACTTTAAATTCCAGACATAACGAAGTAATTGGACCCTTTTTCCCAGTTGGACTCTTTGTCCATACATGACAAAAGCAAGTCGTTGCGAAATGAACTTGTTCTCACTGGGGATTTTGTTTGTCTATATGTACTGATAACATCATACTGGCCTGCAAAATCCCAACTGGGGAGAGTTAAAACAACAAAATAGACAGTTTGATATCCTTTGTAACTATGTCAATTGTTGAATCGGAATGCGAACTCCAATCAGGTCAAAATAGAGTTTGTAAAACACAAGGAAAGTAAAGCTGTATTGGTACATTAATCTGTGATGTGTTGATTGTTGTTGTGTATTAATATAGAGTTTGATAAAAGGTTGATATACTAGTCTTGTATTAATATAGAGTTGGTATACTAGTCTTGAATTAATATAGAGTTGGTATACTAGTCTTGTATTGATATAGAGTTGATATCCTAGTCTTGTATTCATATAGAGTTGGTATACTAGTCTTGTATTGATATAGAGTTGGTATACTAGTCTTGTATTGATATAGAGTTGATATCCTAGTCTTGTATTGATATAGAGTTGGTATACTAGTCTTGTATTGATATAGAGTTGGTATACTAGTCTTGTATTGATATAGAGTTGGTATACTAGTCTTGTATTGATATAGAGTTGGTATACTAGTCTTGAATTAATATAGAGTTGATATACTAGTCTTGTATTCATATAGAGTTGGTATACTAGTCTTGTATTGATATAGAGTTGATATACTAGTCTTGTATTGATATAGAGTTGGTATAGTCTTGTATTAATATAGAGTTGATATACTAGTCTTGTATTGATATAGAGTTGGTATACTAGTCTTGTATTGATAAAGTGTTAATATACTAGTCTTGTATTGATATAGAGTTGGTATACTAGTATTTTATTGATATAAAGTCGATATACTAGTCTTGATTGATATAAAGTCGATATACTAGTCTTGTATTGATATAGAGTCGATATATTAGTCTTGTATTAATATAAAGTTGATATACTAGTCTTGTATCCATGTAGAGTTGAAATACTAGTTTTGTATTAATATAGAGTCGATATACTTGTCGTGTATTAATATAGAGTCAAAATTGAAAAAGACCAAGTCAAAACCGCATTCGTGATACGATGAGAGTCGATGTACTAGTCTTGTTTTAATGTAAAGTTGATACACTAATCTCGTATTAATACAGAGTGAGTGGTCTAAGAAATATTTTGTCAGCTTTTTTCGTTTTAGAATTCTATGAAAAACAAATACAATGAAAAAGGTTGCGCAAATTCTCATAATGCTTTGAAGAGTCGATCGAACTAAAATTGGACCAAACGTTTGTTCCATACATGAGCGTACCTTTTTATACATTGTTCCCAGATGACGTGTGTTGTTAAAATTTGGAAAAAACAAAGCGTTGAAATGGGCGTTTGTTACCATGCTTTTCAAGTTCAATTCTTATACGTATGTGAAATCAATTCTCTCTGCACATGTTGAAGGTAAAAGTGTACGGTAGATTTTTATACGCCCACATTATAATGTGATCGTATATTGTCGTTTCCCCTGTCCGCCCGTCGGTCCGTCCGTCCACAATTGGCTTGTGAACGCAATAGAGACAACAGTTTTTATCTGATTTGATTGAAATTTGGTGTGATCATTTATATTCATGAAATCTTTGACGATCTCTCAATGAACGTTTTTTGAGTTATTGCCCTTGACTTGTAAAAAATGCGCCAAAATTGGTTGTGAACACAATTCACTACATTCATCCAATTTCAATGAAAGTTGGTGAGAATATTAATTTTGATGAGATCTTGGACAAGTTCAAATTTGGCTATCTTTCGATGAACAGTTTTGAGTTATTGCCCTTGACTTATGAAAAACGCGTCAAAATTTGGTTGTGAACACAATAAAGATTACAGTTTTCATCCAATTTAAATGAAATTTGGTGTGATCATTTAAAATGATGAGATCTTAGTCAAGATTAAATTTGACAATTTTTCAATCAACCCAATTTGACTTAGTAAAAACGCATCAAAATTTGTTAGCGATAAAGATGACAGTTTATGTCAGAATTTTATTAAATAATGTGTGTTTGTTTAAATCAACAATATCTTGCACAAATTAGTTTTTTGGTATGATTTGACACAGATAGGTGTCTGCCCTTGATATACTGAAAATGTATCAGGAAAGTGGGCGTATCTTGCTAGGCAACCACTTGTAGATTTTAGGGAAGGATAGTAACATGCGTAACAATGATAATTATTCAATAATTGATAAACCACTTTAATCTACAGTATGCACTAAAAGAACTATTAATTACGTTTTTAAAATGCTATGAATTGCAGTTTAACTCTAAGTAAACCTTATCGAAAAATTGTTGTTTTTTCGAGAAATCGTAATTCAGGGGAGATAACAATGATGAAATTTATTTACATTGCAATTTGATTATTACTTGCAATATTATATGATCTATTTTCGGTTTTTGCGAGTAACATGGCACAATGGATAGCGAGTTGAAGTATTGTCTATACTAAGCGAATTTTTCTCAAGGTTTCACAAATTCTCATAACATTGCTTTGAAGAGTCAATCGGTTTTAACCTCAAACCCTATGCTGATTTAAATAAAACCATTTTTATTAGCTTTTACTTCTAATATAGCCACTTCAGTTGGGGTCCAAAGACTGACTTCTTAAACATTCGTCCAAATAACCTTTTGATCTAATCTGCTTTAGCCAATCAAATTCCTTCACTATCCCACAAAATGCAGAGGATAAAAATTGTTTTACTTCATATATAATGTATACATATTGCACAGAGCTCATTCTCAAGAAAAACGTATAAACCACCGAGGCCAGTGCTTCTCAGCCTCATTGAGATCATTCCTCCCTTTTCAAAGTATATGGCTCCCCAAATAAATCAGTAATTTTGAAACGTATTTCACTCGAAAAATGATTACCCATGAATATAAATGGATATTGATATGGCTGGATATGGGCTGAATGTTCGTCAACGATTTCTGTATGTCCGAAGTGAATGACGTCAATTTCAAAGGGGGGAGGGGAGGGGGGGGGGGGGGGGG